TGGGAGCACCTCTGCTTGCTTTTCCAAAGAAGGACATTTCCAGCCTTTGCAAATGCTCACAGACGTGGCTCTAATGCTTCCAAAACAGAAGAGGAAGGAGAGAATCCAACCACATTATTAGCTTTAAATATCTCATGACCTTTTACTGCAAATCTCAAGATCTGAGGCGCAGCCCGCCTCACGGTTCGTTAACATTTCATGTTGTCAGTGCAGCCAATGGGTTCAATTAGACTTTGCGACGGCATCTGCAAATTGCTGGCAACCCACCGGAGGAAATCCTCCCTTGGCCTGGCCGCCAGCTCTGATGCTGCTTAAGAAATACCTTCTGAGCCTTGCCATGGTCCCAGGATGTGCACAGAGCTGGTCAGTGCTCAGCGCATGAGATTTCCCCCAAAAAGTTGGGAAAAGGGGAGATCCTGCTCCAGCAAATGCTAGGGGGTGGGAGAAGATTGGGTGCAAGACCTGCCCTGGGCTCCCCAAAGATGCTCGGGATGGTGCCTGGCCACCCGCCTGCATCTAGGGGTGAGTGTGCAGACGTGCTTGCAGGGAGATCGCATGTGTGAGCACGGCGATTGCTGCTGTTGTGAGTTAACTGAAGGAGCCTGTAAAACCAGAAACAGGCTATTAGCAATCCATTAGGAAAGGGTATCCAGTTCCAGCCTAGGTAAGCCATTAGAGGAACATCTGAGAGCATTAGGAGAGCTCGCTTGGGGCCAGGATGGGGCTATAAAACAGAAGAGGAAACCACGCTAATCTGGCTTGAATTACAAACTTAAAAGCAGGAGAAAAATAAAGGATACCCTAAACATTTAATGTTTTATATTTAGGAGACAGAAGGGGAGATTCTGCCAAAAGGAGAGAATAAAAAACCTGTTTAGGCTACATATATCCCATCTCTCTTCTGGCAGCAGAGAAACCACCAGTCCCTCTTCCAGAAAGGGAGGAGCGTGACTTTAAAGTTGCTTGAGTTTCAGAGCGAGCTCAGTGCTGATGGGGTGGAGGGAAGTCAGTGGCCACCCGATGTGACACGATGTGACATGGCTGCATCCTGAACAGCTGGGAAATGCCCGTGCCCAGGTTTGAGGGAGCTGCTGCGAGGCGGCACGATAGTGCAAGGAGCATCCGGCACACGCCCTGCCGCATGCTCACATGGAAACTCATCATCATCACCTCTCCATGATAATAATTCCCAGAGCACATCATCATAACTCCCAGAGCAAACTGCAACACGAGAGCTGTTAAGTGGCCTGAGCGGAAAGGCGCTGCTGAGCAGGGGAAAGGGACTGCAAACGGCACACTGGGGCTCCAACCCACCTTTGGAAAGCACTGGAAAGGGAATGAGGGTGTCCCCCCATCTCTGGGTCAGCCCCAGGTATTGCTTGATGGGGTAGGTTGCTTGGTCCAAGCAACACCCAGCTCTCTTGGCAGGGGAAAACTGCATTTATGGCTAGCTCATGCAGTGGTGGGCTCGATAAGATCCACCGCTCCTGCCACGGACAGCTTCATCTTCTGGTGCCAAGCCCTGGCATTATTAAAATCCTGAAAGGAAGAGCCTCGGAGAAAGCAGACGCTGATTGAATCAGGCCCTACGGTATTCGACAGCTCGACATCCATCTGATCCTATTAGTGCTCATTCGGTCCTGCCTGCCGAGGTGCTGTGCATAAATCAGACCCTGCAAAGATAACGGGATGCGGAGGGGAGAAAGGGGAGCTGCTTCTTCTGCCAAGAAACGCCACGTGCGAGTGGGGCCTGCATGGATATTCCTGGCTCTGGGCAGTCTCTGGTGCTCCCTCGTGGGTTTGCTCCTGCAGGGATGCTGGGCTTCCCATGGGGCTGCCAAGGGGGTGGCAGGAGGTGCTTAAACCCACAGCCAGTGAATGGGTGGTTTGCCACGAGGAGGCAGGGATGGCCTCAGCACGGGGACTTTGGGCACACAGAGATGTGCCAGAGCATGAGGTTACCCAGCTCCTCCTGGCTGCTAGCGGAGGCTTCTTCTCTCCCTGCCGGGCTGCCAAGCTGCCCCGTTGTCAGCAAGCAGGTTGTGTGCAATGGCTTTTCCATGCTGGCAGCCAGCAGGGACAGCAAGAGCCAAGATGTGGGGCAGCTTGTGGCAGGAGACCTTCACCTCAGCAAAAATTAAGACACCCCCATGCAAGCGTGGCATATGTGACCACTGCGTCCTTTCTCAGGGCACTTGTTCGTTTGAGGAGAGACCCAACACCACCACTGTAGGATAAGCCGGATGGCTGAGCTAGGCTTGGCCCTACCAAACCATGTCCCTCCTTCTCCTGGCTGGATCTGAGGGAATGGGGACATCCCCCAAGATGCCAAGAAGTAACAGGTCAAGCAAAGCAGAGCTCAGCGTGGCTTGGGCATGCTCCCATCATGCTGGGATCGGTGGGGTTCATTTTTGGGTGCAAACCCCTGCATTTGCAGGGTGCCTGGCTGGGCTAAGCAGGCTGAATGTGCCAAGGGGGTCTGGGGTTGGAGCAGCTCTGGCTGCTGCAGCGCTGCCATCCCCTGGTGTTTGGGAGCTGATTGAATTAGGCTTCGCAAATAATTCATCTGATGAATAGTGGCAGTTTTCCTCAAATCATCCACAAATCAGATTTTTCATTACCCAGCCAGCGGGGCAGAGAGTCAGAAAACAAGGCTGGTACCTCACTAGCTGAATGCTTGCACTTGCTCACCGAGCAAATTACTCCCCAAACACACTTCTCCATCAGCCAGTGATGGGGGACATGTCTCTTGCAAGGGGATATTGATTAAAAGCAGTACTGCTGTGCTGTCCTGGGACACTGGGAGATGAGACCTTCCCGGCCGTCCTTGCACCCACCATGAAGGCTGGTACCTCGAGCTCTCTCTGCGGCTCAGGGTACCTTTAAATATGAGAAATCAAGGTTTTACTGACCTAGAACTGCCTTTTCCAGACAGAGCTGCCCTGCCACTGGTGTCACCAATACCTCTGTGTATTTTGCACCATCGCTGCCTGCCTGCGAGCACTGATGGAGAGGCCACACAGTCCCCTTGGAGGCCCTGTGATGAGCGGACTGGCATGGCTTGACCCCATGAATATGATACCTAATACCCAGTGATGGAGGGACTGGCCACCCTGAGGGTGTCGAGGTGGGAGGCAGCTTGCTGGCTCTCCCACCATTTTTAGGTGAAAACCCCTGCATTCGCAGGGTGCTTGGCTGGATCAAGCTGTGGCAGGGTAAAGACATCAGCTTTTTCCACAACAGTTTCACACCTTGAAAAAATGATGTTGTGAGGCCGCACCTGGAATACTGTGTCCAGTTTTGGGTCCCTCAATACAAGAAGGACATTGAGGTGCTGCAGTGTGTCCAGAGAAGGGCAATGAAGCCGGTGAAGGGTCTGGAGTACAGGCCTTATGAGGAGCGGCTGAGGGAACTGGGGTTGTTCAGCCTAGAGAAGAGGAGGCTGAGGGGAGACCTTATCGCTCTCTACAACTGCCTGAAAGGAGGGTGTAGTGAGGTGGGTGTTGGGCTCTTCTCCCATGTAGTTAGCAATAGGACGAGAGGAAATGGCCTCAAGCTGCACCAGGGGAGGTTTAGGTTGGATATTAGGAAAAATTTCCTCATGGAAAGGGTAGTCAAGCATTGGAACAGGCTGCCCAGAGAGGTGGTGGAGTCCCCATCCCTGGAAGTATTAAAAAAACAGGTAGACGTAGCAGTTTGGGACATGGTTTAGTCTAGTCTACCCTTGATTGGTTTAGTGTGGACTTGGTAGTGTAGGTTAATGGTTGGACTGGATGATCTTAAAGGTCTTTTCCAACCTAAATGATTCTATGATTCTATGATTTCCCATTAATTCTTCCCCTTTTTTCACAGCTCTACAATTCAAGCATTTCTTCCCCAAGTGAAAAAAATACCCACAATGAACTAATACCCAAACCCCACCTCTGCTTTCTTACCCCTTGTGATGCTCTGCGGATGCTCTCTTGCCCCAGGAGTGAAGCAAAGGGCAAAGAGACAAGCAGGAAAAGCCGCTCCCAACCCTTCTCTGATTTTCAAAGCCATCAGCAAACACTTCAACCTGAAACACGACCTGCAGCATGCCTTGTCAAAAAACCCAACCAATGCAAAAAGAAAAAGTTGCCGAGACACTGATGTCTTGCAAAGACAGGAGAAAAGCCTTCCATCCCCTCTCTCAGACATTTTTCTCCCCAAGAAGAGCTGGCTGGCAGAAAACCCTGCTTGACTCCATGACGCAGGTGAGCTCCCTGGGGACCAGGTGCTGCCTCCTATTTGTCTTTTTTTTTTTTTTGGGGCAAAACACTTTATCAAGCAAAGCACATAACTGGCTTTCAACTGGCCCAGGTCGGTGCAGAGGGGATGCTGGATGAGCCACACCAGCATAGAAGCACCTCTCTTCGAACAGCAGATTGCTTTCCTTCACAAGCCGAGCATGCAAGCAGCGCACAGAGGGAAAAAAAAAAAGACCGTTATCTTCCTGCAGCTAACAAATGAAATCTGTCCTCTGGGCTGCCAAGGATTTCACTGTCTATTTTTTTTTTAAAGAAACAAGAAATAAAAGTAAGAAATACGATAACATCGCGGCAATCGCTCCGTGACTGTGCTCTGAGTTACGGCGAGTGGTATTTTATCTTCAGTTCAAAATCTAAATGTGGCAGAGGCGCATTTAAATGTGGTGACATTTATACTTTAAATGCCTTTTACATCTCGTTGGCAGGTTTTATATAGAACATATGTATGGAAAGTAGATAGGGGCCGTAGATGAAAATGTGGAGCGGGAAGAACCTGCAGAGCCATTTGTAGGCAGAATGAGAATTAAAAGAACGACAGAGTGGAAGAGAGAAGAGAGGGGAGAGAGAGAAGGAGACAAAAAGGGTCTGGGTTGCCTGGGCAGTAAATAGACCTTTTTTTTGGGTCCCTGACCACTTGTTCCCAGTACAACTTGTTCTCAGCCACCAGCTCCCCCTGCTCCCTCCTGTCCCAGCCAGCTCAGCATTGCTTACGTGCTGCCACTGCTCCAGGATGAGGGGCCGATACCGCAGGAAGAACTTGAGTGGGAAAGACTCAGGGTCGGGCCAGGACGAGGGGTTTTGCCATGACACCTCCAGCCTCCGAGGGTTATTGGGCACGGGTTTGGCGACCACGCTCTCCGGAGGGTCCGGCTTCACTGGAAGAGAAGAGGGTGACTGGTAAAGCTTTGCATGTGGCATGCTTCCTTACACCCCCCAGCACAGCTGGCTGGGCTTTACACATGGTGCTTTCCAAGGGGAGCAGCCAGCACCCAGAACATCCTCTTCCCAAACTAATTAGACGCAAATCACCTTTTCTTGTCTAGGCCAGTGGAACGGCTGTCCTGACTCAAAATAACCACTGTCAAGGAGGTGCCAGTGCTGGAGACACATGGAAACAACCTGGCCAGGGCAGACAGCGTCCCTCCTCCCCAGGGCTACTTGGGTCAGGCTGAGGAGCCCACCAAGCCCAAATCCTGCCATTTCCTTGCACCTCCTGATTTCTGGGAGTCTGACCCACATTCAAACCCACTTACCTTGCAGTAACATGGCAGAGTTTGGCCCTTGGGCTTAGGGCTGGGGTTTTGGGTATTCAAAGCGTTGGCACATCATATTTACCAAGGGCAAAGGATTGCCATGGTTCCACCCCTGGTATCTCTCAGCCCTGCTCTGCTTTTGGGATATAGGGGTTTTTTTTTGCTACCTACAAGTATTTCAAGTGAGTATGAGTTGGCTGCGAGCTATGCAACGTGCTTTGAAGTTGCAGCTACTTTTAGAGTGCTGGGAGCAAATCACAGACAGGCTGTGATGAACTGCATTGCCCATTGCAGAGTGAGCCTTGCTCCTCGCCAGGGGTTTGCTCAACTCCCAACAGCTCAAACTCCCAATTTGCAATAGCAAAGCCACAAAAAGACTGAGATGTGGGTACACCTACGCTTGTCCTTTTCTTATGGCCAGGAAGGAGCTGGGCATGGGGAACTGGGCACACAGCTGTGCCCTGGCATGGAAGAGGGCTCTCTTTGCACTCTAAGAATAGCAATGCACATGAGTCTTCACATCCCGGGAGGGCTCTCAACCTTCTCCAAAGTCCACATGCTGGCCAATGGATCCCGCCTGGCCTGAAAATCTCTGGATTGAGTAGTGGCCCCCTGGTTCTGACCATCTCGAGCAGCAGCTTTTGAAGGTGCCAGCATCAAACTCCACTCCCAAGCATGGAGGAGGGATGCTGGGGCCATGGGATGCCCCTCTCTGCCTGGCAGAGCTCCTGCCCTGCATTCAGAGGTCTTCTCCTCCATGCTGACCCAGGGGTTCACCTGCTGGAGGTGGGAGGTGATGTCCACACATGGGCTTTGCCTCCCCTGGGAGATGAAGCAGGTGGTGGTGGCGAGTGAGTTGCTCCCTTGCCAGCCTGCCTGCCTGCTGCCTGCAGCCCTGCCCTATGCATGAAGGGCATCTCTCCCTCTGCTTAAAGCTGTATGGGACCAGGTGCTAATGTGGAGCCAGTCTGCTGCAAGTGGAGTCATGTGTGTGCCTTTTGCTGCCATCTCTGCTCCAGGATGATGGTGGCATCTCAGCAACTGTCCCCAGGAAGACACCCTCCCTGCACCACCGCTGTTTGCTCCTCTTAGGAGAAACCAGCTTGTGATGCTTTCAAACCCGCTTTCTTTGCTGCGGGTGAGGCAGAGGGGGGCACTGAAATGAAGCCACAGCCCAACGACCTTGGTGGGACCCAGAATTGGTCCTGTTCCCTCCAAGACACAGCCCACCACCACCTCCCTCTCCCCAGCCCTCCCGCTCAGCGCCCTGGCACATGCCCTGCTGCAGTCCTCCTTCACCATCATCTTCACCACCACCCCAACAGCCTCTCCTGCATCCCATCACCTTCCCTCTGCCATGGTGTTTGCCAGGAGGGCTGGATAATTTCCTCCATCCCCACTGCACCCAGTGCTCAGAGGATGCTTCTGGAGGCTTGGGGAGTGGCTGGTGAACAAGCACCCATGGGCCTGACCATGGGTGCCCGGTGCCACCTCCGGGCTCCCATGGGCCCCTCTCTGCAGCAGGACAGGACACGATTTTCCATTTACAGCTTTATCCTCGGCAGGAGGAATGACTTGCTGGGGCTGCACTGTGCTGAGCTACTCCAGATGGCTGTGCAATTCCTCTGCTCGCTTCGAATCCCCAGGCTGGGGCTGGACATCAGCTTCCATCGACAGGGACTTGGAGTCCAAATGCATACGGAAAAGTATAAATCCAGTGCTGGCTCAGTGGGCTCAGTTTGCAAAACAAAAGTCTGTTCAGCTGAACGAATGCAGATGACTGTGAACTGCGGCTCTGCAGTGAGGAAGTGGGAAGGAAAGCGCTGGGCTGGGGATGGATGCGATGGGATACTCCCTGGGGTAACACAGGGAGCCTGACCCTGCTTTTGGCATGCCAGCCTGGAGCCATGGCAGAGGAATGCTTAAATGCAGTTGTGCCGGGCAGGGCACATGTGCCTGAGCAGCAATGAGAGATGCCACTGTGGTGGGTTGGAAGAAAGCAAAAAAAAAGCCATGCCCTGATGCTGAGGTGGGAGTCACCTGTGTGTTTTGCAGGGATGTTACCCCCAGCCCCACTCCTGTGGGTTGGAGACTGTCCCTGGGGTGCAGGGGAGGGCTGCCCTGGCTCTGAGCGAGCACGGCAGAGACCAGCCATCCAAGGGGGCTGTGCTCCTGGCTGCGGCAAGCCTTCAAACAGCGCTGCGGGTTAATGGGAAAACCAGCAGTCCCTGCTACCTCCCCATGTGCCCCCCCCATCCATGGGACTCCTGCCCAGGCTAGAAAGCGTAGCAGTGCCAGCCCCTCCAAAAGCACAAAGCCAAAGCTGTTCCTGCCACCTCCCTCCAAGGTGGCGGGGATGCAAGAGCCAGGAGAGGGGATCACACCTCTGGCAGCTGGTCCAGCGAGGACAGACCTCTATCTTTTAGGACAGACCTCATTACACTGTGTTCATCGTGGGAAACATCGGGGCCGGTCCTGCAGGGGCCGGTCCTGCAGGGGCCAGTTGAAGAGCAAGGGGAGACAGGCTGTGTCCAGCTCCCCGACTTCTGCGCGACCTTGAAGGAGTCCTTTATCCTCTGCAGCCTCCTGGGTCCCTGCTCTGCACACAGGGATGCGTGCTCCTCCTTCCCCAGCCTTTGTCTGCCTTCTGCCTCGGTTCAGCCCACACATGGCAAGGCAGGGGCTGTCTGGCTGTACATCAGCCAGCATAATAGAGCCCTGTCCTCGATGAGGGCCTGCAGGCAGTAACGTAATAAAAGCAATAATGGTAATAATAATAATGGACGATGGGCATTAGGCTGAGTACTGGTTAAGCAGCTACAAAACCAGATGTAATATTATCCTGCAGAGCTGAGGGAGCATCTCCAGACATTCCTGGGAAGGGGACTTGGCTGGGAGGCAGCTCACAGCTCTTCCCGCTTGGTTTTCAGCTGCTGCGTCCAGGCAAGTGCTTGGTGTGCAAGAAGAGCCGTGGAGAGCGGCTTTTCGTAGAGGCTCTGCACACTCATGCTTAATCGTGAGTCTTCAGCTATCCATCACCCCTGGCTCTTGTTAGACACATCTTAAAATGACGCCTGCAGTTCAGAAAGGCAGCTGAGACCCCACAGCATGGAGGGGCCCATTGCCCATCCCAACTCTCCAATGAGCACTAAAATGGATCCCTTGCGGCCGTTAAATATCCCCTGGCATTTTCCACAAGCAGAGGGATATTAAACTCCATGTCTTAGCCAAATGTCAGTCTAGGTAATTTAATTCTGCCTCCCTAAGTAGTATGAATTGAACTGACCTTCTGCCTAGGCAACTGTATACCCATGTTCAGAGACTCTGAATTTTGTACAGACAGAGGCACGTTTGTCCTCACGCAGCCCCTCTGAGATGCTCTGCGTCTTAATCACCCCAGAACTAGAGCTGGGAGGATCAAACAATCTTCCCAAGGTCACACAAGGGACGGGTGGCAAATCTGGGGAATGCACCCATGCCTGGAAGGCCCCATCCAAGGCTGCCTTTCTCCTTTTAATGCTGTGTGTCTTCTGCTAATTTGCCCTGGGCTTACACAAGGAGAAAGGCACTGAGGCAGGATGCTGGCGTTGCTGCATGGCAGCGATGTCCCTGCTTTCCTGGGGGATGCACATGCCGGCTACCTGGTTCTTGGGCTAAACACAAGCAAGGAAGGTGGGGCTGTGTCCTGAAGGGCCATAAATGTCCCCATTCTGTCCCAGTCATCACAAAGGAAGGGCACAGCTCCTGACACACCATCTCAGTCTTCCCTGGCACCTTTCTTTGCCTCCAAGGCCCCTCCTCTCCAGCTTCTCCAGCCCCTTTCTCACTGCCTCCTGCCGTGGACTGGAACCCTGATGTCTGTCTGCAAGGGCTTCGCAGAGCCTTGACCATCCCATGCTCACCTTTATTAATATCAATACCTTTGCAGGAGATGCAATTATGAAAACAATTTCCAGGAGTGAGATGGGGAGGAAGGCAGCCTGTATCTCCTACTGATGAGAGATGGGAGCCAGAGAGCTGGAAAACCTCTTCCAGTCATCACTGGAAATGGAAATGCAGAGTGACCCCTCGCAGCTGGCTGCTAATAACCAGCACGGCACGACCGCCAGCAAGGCATGGGCTTGGGATAGCAAAAGAAAGTACCAGTCATTTTCCACTCAATTAGAGCCCATCTCCTGAGCAGCTGGGGAAGGGATTTTCTGCTGGGGGCTCCAGGGAGGGAGGAAGGAGAGAGGAAGCAAAACCAAAGGAGGTCACTCCTTCCCAGGGGGCTTTTTGTGTTTGCCCAGGCTGGGTGGGTGGTCTGACTCAGCAGTGGGTCTGCTCCTGGCTCAGCCGGCACTGGGAGGGAGAGATGCTGGCCCTGCGCTGCTCTCACATTGGCTCCAGGCTGCTCCATCCCCAGCAGACCATAATATCAGGGCTTCATGCCTGGGATTTAACCTCTGTGCAGAAGGTGTGATGGTTTTCTCTAGGCTAGGCGGAAAACACAAGGCAGGCTCTGACATCCCCAGCCATGGGATTTTAGAAGCATCATGCAGTCGCTGGTTGTCACCGTCTCTACATTTCAGCAGG